TAACTAGTTGCCATGAATATTTTGCATAATTAATCGTAGCCAAATATAAATCCAACAGATAATCATAACTCTAGTAATATAAATAATCCGCCGATCGCTCGCAGCGATTGACAAGTCAACCAGTCGACGTCCAAGTAACAGTAAAAAATAATGATTTTAACAGTAACAGTAAAATGATGATTTTTTTACGCATCAAACATTAAATGCAAATAAAATAACCTGATTTATGGTTGACGGGAAGTTTTGAGGTCGATCTAAGCGGGCTGCTTGTTAAGCCGACTCAACAATAACACCAGATTATTGTTTGTGATCACATCGTGAATAGTGTTATTGACAATTAAAAACTGATTTCCACAGAAAATCATTCTGAAATCACTGCACTCATCAGAGGCCATTAACGCGGAACAATTTCAATGTGTTCACGATCCGCAGGTATCTCTGCAAAGGAGGACATTCAAATGTTACTTTGCCGACCGCAATTCTATGCACTAATAATATTCAAGGAACCACACATATCATTTGTTCGGTCAAAGCCACGAAAACTAAAACTTAAAATGTAATGAACATTCCCCACGTATGTGGAATATAAGCATCAAATTTTCCCACAAATGCTCACACATGGGAACTTTATGGGAACATTTGTGATTTTCTCAGGAATTATCAACGACGTTCTTTGTGTGAAAATTTTCAGTTAAGTGCTCGAACGGGATGGAAGAAACAGCTAGAAGGAGCTTTTCAATTATCAATAAGATTATTAAATCAATGTGATCAACGTGAAACGACATTTCCAAAAACTTTTCGCACAGCATTTATGTGTCGGTCAATCAGCAGATCATTAGTGCAAACGAAGTGTGATTTGCTTCCGTTATTCAAGAGGAATAGAAGCATTCTTATGATTCCATTGAATCATACATTCAGTCAGCTGCATTCAATGAACTCTCGAACTGCTTGCGGACAACCAGCCTGTTAAGAGACTCGAGCTCTCGAACTTGCCATTTTTATGTAGCGATATTTGCGCGAATATGAGTGCTTGATCATCAAGAGTCCGAAACATACATAAACGTGGCTGCGCAACAGAATTTTGAGTCATTCATATGACTTAAATGAATTTCTGAGCTTGAGCTCAATTCATCTCAAGTCATGTTTCGCATTCACAATCAGCGATTCTCGAGATACGTCGCAGTTCGTCCTCATAGCATACTGGCTGATCTCAACGAGCAATTTCTAAAGCTTAACAAGCCATCTCACCTGCGATTCAGTGGCAGAAATGGCGAGGATTGGGATAACAAGGGAATCTGGACTGCTTGGAAGGCGATTAGGAAATAGCAGTTTTGCTGACAGCATATATGTTTAGCAATAGGGATTGATTTGAAGGTGACGGAAGAGCCGAAAGTTCAGATGGGTACTGGTTTGATTGCGTGCATCAATGATAACAACTAATGGACGTAAGTGGAAAATTTTAATATTACACGCGAATATCAAATAATCACTACAGAAGGAAAGTAAACAGCTCAAAACATACTTTACAGGAATGTGTGATTGTGTCAGCATGATAATATTAATTTTATATGGTCAATTATTATTATTATTATATAATATTATCATTTCAATGAACGAACACATTTAACACACGTTTGACAGACAGACATCATGCATAACGATTAACAATTCGTATCATCAAATCAGCTCAGTATCAGTGAATGATCGCAATGAAATACAAACAACACACAATTATAATTGCTTTATTAAGTTAGCGATTTGCTGAGGTCCTTTGCTAGTTTATACCAGTTCAACGATATTCTTTGAGAGTCCGAATACATGATAACGATGATCATAACAATGATGGTACTACGCACCCTGAAATGACGTTGTCACTTTATTTCAAAACAGTCTTAGATTTGCCATATCTACGTATGGAACCAAATAATTGATTAATCGTTAATGAATTGAACAGCTGATATTGTGAAAATGTTGGGTGGATGAGGATGGAAGGAATTTTTTCAGAGAAAACTCGTGAAAAGCAGAGAATGGATGATAGATTTTATATGAACGACTTCATCTAGTGATCCTTCAATAAAAACATTTTGAACCATAATCATGCTAATGATATGGAATGCGATGGTTTACTGATTGAGTCAATCAACTCGTGTCTATTGAATCACACGGTAAATATTGGCCGTACTAACCATGCATGCAGATTCACATAATCGTTTCGTTTCAAAACGATTCGCATTACCGCCACAGCCTCGGTAGAAATACAATTTACATTTATTGTCTCGTCGACTGTAGAAAAATTGCAGATTGGTTCTTGGCGATACCTCGTCTTCACGGCATGGCCGACCTTAAGTTTGTTAACAATACTGATTACTTCACTCTCCGGAAAGAATCAATTTGAGATTGCGATAATAATAATGACAATAATAATGATAGCAATGAATGATGAGTAGAAATATCATAATAATGGTATTGATATAGCAACAACCCTACCAAACATATCAATGATGAACATCAACGAATGAAAAAATACCTTCAGTCGGTTTTAGCTGACAATTACTTCTGTCGAACGGACTTGCAGAATCGGATTTATCGCTGTCGAAAGGATCTTGAGTATCACCGATATCAATTTCAACGCCACCATCGTTCAGTTCATCGCTTGTTGATTTGACTGAGTTTGCTGGCTGATAATAACCTGTCAATGGATATACTGATAAGTAAACATTGATAACCGCATTCAGATAACAACAATATTGGTTGAGCGNTTAGTGCATATATCAATGGTGACAAATATAACCTTTATCCATATTCAGTTGTTCTTTGTTGGCTGGCTTGAGCATCATTCTTCCATATGGAACATCCTCTGGAACTGAATCATCTGAAATTTTTGTTTTATTGAATTTGGAACAATTTAAACCCAAATAAACTTTTTTTGCAAATTTCGTGTGGAATAATACTCGTGACAATAAGGATAACGATTAGAGCAACACCCAAAAAACAAAAGCACTGCACAATGACACCACATCAGTCATGTCATAAATGCTCAACAATAAGTACTGACCACTTTCTATGGGGCCTTCAGAACTGCTCTGCTGTAGATCACCGTTTTCTATGGCTTGTTGTTCGGTTGAAGCCACATTCTTGTCATCACCATCCTTATCATCCGTATCACTGTTATCAACGCTGACATTCTCTGCACTTTCAGTAATTGCTTCAGTCTGTTCAGTACTACTTTCTGTGCTGTAGACATACTTCTCTGGTTCACTTGTCTCTATTGTTTGTTCTTCGGTTGAAGCCAACACAGGTGACTTAGTTTTAAATCCTGAAATGATTTAGTTTTGATAGGACTGTTGATTATGATCAGTAAGATCATTCAAAGAATAAGCACCTGTTGTATTAATATTTCAGGTAAACTGAAAAGTTATTTTTTAATTTCATTCATTAATTTCATTCTCGCTTGAAAATAGTTAGATGCCTGTAATGA